ATCTTAGAAACATCTTAGTAGAAAATCGCTCCCTGTCGCCTAAATCTCGGCCAAAGTTAAAAAATCAAATTTTTCAGACGGAAATTTCCGGAGGTCATGTGATATTCCGTAAATCGACGCCTAATTAAATTTCCTGATGAACACCTTATAAAAAAAAAGAATCGAATGTAAGTTGTTAATCACAGGATCATTAGTATTATATATAAAACTTCGCATAGGCCTTAAGGCTCGCGAGCCTAGTGAGTTGAGCCAATCCAAGCTGAGCCGAGCCTGATATTATAGGCTCATAGGCTTGCAAGTCAAGCCCAACTAAGGCCTGACTCACAAGGCTCGAGTCTTAAAAATTTTGGGGCTTTAAATAAAAGCCCACATAATTTTTTTTTAAAAAAAATTATCCGTTGCTTATGAGCCTAATATAAGGCTCGCGAGCTTACTATAAGGCTTGTGAGCCTACTATGAGGCTCGAGCTGAGCTGAGCCTAAGACTTTTGGGCTCAGCTCAGCCTGAGCTTTATGAAACTCAGCTTGGCTCAGCCTATGAGGAGCTTTAATTATATATAAACTAATAACTTATCTCATATAATAGCTTGAGTTTAGACGTGTGCAGAAGATCTATCAAGTGATCGTGCTTCAATACTTTATTTAATCTTCTAAATGGTATTCCATACAATCCATTAGAGGTAGAAATATTTGTAAAGAATCAAAAATCTTCAAAATAAAATTGATCAGTTTTGAAATTGTTTTGATACTTCTATCAAAATAAACAAGTGTGGCTTGAATGGTAAACAAAGAATATTATTAGTAATTGCCAATGATTTCAGGTGTCATGAAATACAGGAAAATTTGAAGGTGAGTTTAAAAAATCTTTTATTAATCTTTAGTAATCAAGCCTTTTTACTAACAATCATATACTAAATTTTTTAAATTTCAAATGATTTGATGAATGCAGCAATAAAATATTTACGAATCAATGGACCTAGTTGTATTGTTATGAGCAAACCTATAGTAACTTGAAGTCAAATATCAGAAGTCAAAGATCAGAAGTTTGAAATATTTTTTACAGATAAAGATAATGTTTCTATGAGTTCTTACAAAGTTCATTCAAAAACTAATCTTCCAATTCTTTATTTAAAAGACAATAAAGGAGCACTTTGGAAAAAGTATAAAGTAACTTATTCAGATGGAATTAAATGAACATCATTTATGGCACGATTGACAAATGGACAATATATTTATCGAAATGATCTAGGAGGCTTATGTAATATTTGTAATGAATATTTTTATGAAGTTTTTGATACATTAATTAGTTTAATTCAATTAAACATAGCTAATCAAGAAGAAAAAGTAACTATTATATTTCTTTTCTTTTTTTTTGTATATTTTATTTAAAAATAAAAATTTTATTTTAAAATTATATTATTTATATTTTACAGAATAAATTAATTACAGAATTAGAAAAACTATGTATTCATTTAAGAAGAGGATTTGAAGATGAACTTATTATGAATCAGGATGGTACAACAATGCATGTAAACACAATTAATCACTGTTTACTTTATGCATTTGGTGAATACCATGAACAACATACTGATCAATATACTGCATGTGATCAACTATTTGGATTTATTCAACATCTTATGATTAATCTCAAGGAACACCATCAACTATTGAAAAATGTCAAGATAAATTATACTACTTTTTGGCACATCAAGCAAGAAAGGTATATTTAAATAGTCAATTCAAAACTAGACTTGCAAAGTTGAACAATGATGGAGCAATTTTAGTATGTGATTATAAAATGTGTATTTTGCCTAAAAGTGCATGAGAAACTAAAGAACAATTCTTTGAAAAGCATGGGTGGAGTTTGCATACAATTTTAGTATTTACAAAATCTAATATCAATCAACTCAATGTTCAAGCATTTGATCACTGGAGTACTGACACTAAACAAGATACTTGGTTCACTGTTTCATCATTTGATTCTGTCTTTGAAACTCTTGATCCAAGACCACAATGGATTGAAATATTATCAGATAATGGTGCCCACTATCATAACTCTGAATTAATTACTACCATTGCTAACTGGTATCAATGGTATAATATTGAAATTCGTGGTTGGTATTTCTTGAACCTGGAGAAGTCAAAACAAGTGTTGATTCTCATCACGCTCAAGTAAGTTTTGAAAATTTTATAGTTTTGAAAATTTTATATTTTACTAAATTAGATAATAACTTCTTTATTTGTTAGATTGTACATGCCATAAAAAGATATGTTCGTATTGGACATAATTTAGATGAGGGAGAAAAAATACAAGTTGCAATATCTGATTTAGGAGGAACATCAGTTGCAAATATAGAGCCTACTTGTGATAATCATAATGTTAAAACAATTGCCGGTATTACTCAATTGTTTTATTTTGAATGGCCAATTAATGGTGATTACGTTGGATATATACAAGCTCAAAGCTTACCACATATTGGATCATGGTCACAATTTTCACCTTTTGAAATATCAAAATTAACTACAACCCTATAAATAAACCAACACCCAAAATACTCCTCATTCGATTCCAAAAAATCCATGGAACTTTCCACTATCTTGTGTTCAAGGTAATAATCAAAATTTTATTTTTTATTTTTTATTATATATTTTATACAAGGATAAATATTACATAAAATAGAAAATGAAAAATAAAATATTTTTTTTACTATTTTTTTAGATACAAATAAACGAAAAAATAATAATAATCAAACTTTTCATTATTAGGTATGTATGATGTAATAAAATTTTGTTTTTTTTTAAGTATAATTTGTTGATTTATTTATATTATTTCAATATTTATTTATATTATTTTCAATATAGCTGTAGAAGAAACATTTGAATTGAAAAGAGGTTGGGCATTAAAAAGTAACCAGAAATATGGAAAAAGGGGAGCAGGAAAATGGATGACAAAAATGGTAAAATCTTACCTTGAAAGTTATTTTTTGGTGGGTAATATGAATAAAACAGATCGGATGACAGCAAAGGACATGGTAGAACAACTTCAAATTCTTGCTAATAAAGGTGAAATTCAAGTTGAGGATGTTCCAGAAATAACAAAAGTTGCAAATTGGATTACACGGTATGCAGCAAGCCTGAAAAAACATTCAGCGGAGATATTAGTAGAAGGAAGTAATACCATCAGAAATTTAAATAATAATTTTCAAGAAATGGAAGAAACGGAAGAAACAGCAAAATCCAGTAATGAAAAAGGTAAAAAAGTTGTTTATAGTAATAATAATAATATAAAACGGCAGAAAAAAAAATAATTATAAAAAAATAATAATGACATTATTTCAAAATTTTGGAATCTCACTATATATGTAGCCTCTAAAATCTCTATGTCCAATATAATAAAGTTTTTATTGAAAGTTCGAAAATATTTTATTTTTAAATAATGTTCATTGTTTAGTTTCCGTGTATTATTTTACAAGTTTTTAATATTAGAGGAATTTTGGTAACTGTGTAACGTTAATATATTGATCGCCCAATTGCATTACTAATTAATCTCACCGATTAACTTACGGATTAGCAATTAAGTTTGATATTTTGAAAGAATCCAACTTATTCCTTCACATCATTTGGAAATTGAAGATAACAAACAATGTTGAACTTGAATTATATGAAATTTGCAGGATCCATTAGAAAATAGGAATGATGTGGCTTAGTAATTGATCTGCTGCTTCAGTCATCTTTTAGTGTTAACTAAAATAATTACTTAACTACTGAAATCAGCTGTCAATAAATTTTAGCCAAAATTCAGAATTTTTGATTTTGGCTGAATTTTCGTTGAAATATAATATAATATTTTGATATTCTATTTTGTTATTGATTTTCAGCACTATTTAATTACAGATCTGTGCGATAGATCAAAAAAGGAAGTTACAATAATGAGAACAATGTGTGCCTTTGTTAAAATTTCCTTTTGTGAATTTTTTTTGACGCCTACATGCAAAATTTTTGTAACCATCCTTTTTTGAGACGATTAATGTAACACTAGTAGTAATTATACAAGTTATGTATCTAGGTATTTTTGTGAAATCAACAATGGAACCTCTTCTTAATTTCTTATATAGTTTGGAAAATACTGGAAATACTTTTTATAATTGTTTTGTTGAACCAATTCTTAGATTAATAAATTTACCTCCCAAAGACTTGACTTTTGGCAGGGAATCATTACCTTTACGTTTTTATGAGGAAATTCTTCACTCCGAGCCTTATGTTCATACCGAACGTAAAATTCCTTTCCCTTTTAATGGAGCAACTGATAGTTTTATTTATTATCAAACATGGTTTTTACCTACAACAAAATTTCAACGAAATACTGATATTTTTTTTGTACACGGTTTAAATGAATATGGAGGAAGATTTTCTGAAATTTGTACACCATATTTAGAACAAGGGTTTAGAATTATAGGATTGGATTTACCAGGTTTTGGAAGATCTAGTGGATTACATGCACATATCAATGATTGTAATGATCTCATTGAAGCAGTTCATGAAGTCATTAATCACGTAAAAAATTTAAATGATAAAAAACGTAAAGTAATTTTATATGGTGGTTCTATGGGTGGAATGATTGTTCTTTCATACGCAATTAAATATCCTGATAATTTTGATGCATTTTCTGTTTATTGTCCTTTCATTTATTTGTCTTCCGCAAGTCGTCCTTCTAAATTTATTGAAATTTTAGCAAGAATATTAATTAAAACACCTTTGGGACGTATTCCTATTGCTGTAGCACATAGTGGAAAATCTAGTAAAGATCCAAATCATACAAAGGTAATTATTTAATAATAATTTATAATAATAATAATAATAATAATAATAATAATAATTTAACTTTTAATAATAATAACAATATTTTATTTTTAATATTTAAATAATATTTGATATTTAGCTTTTTAAATCAGATCCTTTAAATTATAGAGGAAATCTACGTTGTTCTACTGGATTAGCTATTAAAGTTCATGCGGAATGGTTACGATTAAATCTTGAAAATATTTCTAAACCATTTTTAGTTCAACATGGTTTATGTGATCGAGTTACTAGATTTGAAGGATCTAAAGAATTATTTGATAAAGCTCAAACTCTCGAAAATCAAAAACAAATTTTATTATATGAAGATTGTGAACATGATATGTTTAGGGATAAAGGTTCGAAAGAAAAGGTTGTCGAAGATGTTATTAATTGGTTGATTTCAATGGATATGAAACTATAACGATTTGTTTCTATATTAGTATTTGTTAGCATTTATTGTTATTATTATTTTCTAAATATATTATTATTATAGATTTAATGTAATAAAATAATCAAAATTTATGATGAAAGATGTACTTTCAAATTGTACGATAATAATTAAAAAAAAAAAAAACTTGAATTAAGAACAATGATGCTTTCCAAATTTATTTGATTTTTTTTGTTTTAGCGTGATCTATAGAAAAATAAAATAAAATGTCATGTATACATATACACACATATATATATGTTCTGTACAAAAAGAAATATCAACAAATAATAAAATTATGAATAATGTATGAAATATTACAACTATACTACTTTTCTAAATTTAAAGAAAAAATGAATAAAATACAAATAGTACAATGTAGAAAAAAAAAAAAAAAAAACAATGTTCTTTTACACCAGACAATAATCTACTGAATAATGTTTTTAAATAATTGAAAATTTTGAAAAGTCCTAAATTTATAATTTAGTTAATTGAAACTTAAATAATAAACCATTAAAATAAAAAAAAACAAATTATTAAATAAAAGAAAAAAATAAAATCAAACTTTTTTTTAATAAAATCCAAACATTATCTGAATTAAGAAATTCCCTCAAAAATTTTAAAAATTTAGGATTTTCACACTATATAAATCCATCCTTACTTCTATCAGCTGTGTTAAGAATTAATGCGTGAGCATTCTCGATAATAAATTCGATCGCAGAATTTTTAAAGGTCATATCAAGAATTTCCATGTTAGCATTTGGTCCTCGAAGTAATGTAGGCCCAAAAACCACTGAAAGATTTTTAGGGCTCATAAGATTTACTGATTCTAGTTTTGTAACCCTAGATTTATTTTAAATTATAAATCACATACATTAGTCATTTGTATTAGTCATATGTATTAATCATATGTATTAATCATATGTATAAATAATACATGTTTTTTAATCTTATGGAAAATATTTTTTACCTGTCTAAATGTGACAATAGATACTTCGTTGTGTTAAAGTGAACTCTTGGTAAATAATGCAAAAGTTGTCGAAACCTTTCAATTTTTTCATCAAAATTTTCTATGCCTTTTTTTTTAATTTTAAATTAATTTAATTAAGGTAAGGAGATCATATTATTTTTATAAAATTATTAAAATAAAATATTATAAAAATTTAACATACTAACTGCTCCTAGAAAATTAGGGTATAAATCATAAGTCAGCAAAGGATCCGGTAATTCACGCAAGTATTGTTTGAGTACACTGGTGACTGCACATATATCATTGAATTGATCCGGACTGTCAAGATCGAAATCTTCACCGTTCTCAAAAGCTGCTATTATTCCCCGCATCTGTGAGGCACCACCAGATTTTCGATATATACCATCAAGATCCATTCCTATTTAATAATCGAATTTAAATTTAATAATCTACCTTATTAAAATATAATAAATATAATAAATAGAATTTGTTTTTCGATATTCACCTCGAGCTTCGACTGCCAAAATACACTTTTGTACCAAGAAAGGAATATCATCACCCTCTGATTCAGACTGTTTAGTCAGATCATTACCAAACATTGAAGTAAAATTTGAATTAATTATGCTATCTGAATCTTCGCCATTGTTACATGGATTGGTATAAAAAAGAGAGCATTTCGTATGAATTAAAATTCCACATCCTAGAAATCATGATCATTATGCATGTAAAGTGAAAAAAATAATCTTTAGGAAATATTTCTATTTGAATTATATATAAATTAAATCTTATTTTTAATTTTATACCTGCACATTTAACTTCAGAAGGACTTCGCATTTTTTCGTGACAACAATCGCAATTAATTGGACGTGAAAATGAAGTTGGTTGCCAATTATGTGATCGTGAAGAATTTTTCTTATTGATTTCTGAGGAGAATGCCCCCAAATAAGGAATCTTTCCATCTGATACAACATTAGTGCCTGCTGACAATATTTTATTTAAAACTTTACCCCCCTTTTTCCATTTGAACTTCTTTGGTGTTGCACCTCGACTAACACTATTTCGATGTGCAACGTTTGGCAAAGATAATATTGTTGTACCGTCTGCACAATCAGGATCTAAATTACCAGTTGATGACTGTTTAGAATGCCCTTTTTGCTGAATAACAGTTATTTCTGGGGATGCATTGTTATATTGTTTTTTGAAAAAGTGAAATCCATTTGTAACTTTGCCTTTACTATTTATTTCAATTTGTCGCATTAATTCATTGTTCATTGCAAGAAGTTCTAAATTCTTTGAATTCAATTGTGCATTATCTTCTGTAAACTGTTCTTTAGTACGACGAAGTTGTTCCGTTTCTTGTTCTAAGGTTTCTAATTCTTCTTTAAGTGACCTGATTTCCAAAAAATAATTCTGTTTAACTTCGTCAAACTGCGATGATAGATGTTTAGCAAAAGAGCTAGAAATATCTCTTGTTGAATTTGTCGCAAAGGTACTATTAATTAATTAAAAAAAAATAATATATAAATTAATATTACTAATTATTAATGAAAAAAATCCAAAAGTATAATTAAAAAAAAAAAATATAGATATACCCTGCAAGACCAGCTTGTTTTTCTCTTGCTAACAATTCGATTTCGCTAATCATCATTTCTTTCTGTAAACTCATTTCTTTTAAATTATTTTGTAATTCTTGTAATTGCTGTTTTGCTGATTGAGAATCTTTTAACATTTGTTCAATGCGTTCTTTATCTTGATTTTGAAGCTCAATTTGAGCCCTTAGTTCTTCAACAGTGGCTTCGGCCTTTTGACGTAATGAGACTTCATTATCAAATTCTTCTTTAGATACGCTAAACTCAACAAATGTCTTCTGACTGGATCTCTATAAAAATAAAAAGATTTAAATCAAATATTCATAATTTATTAAAAGTCTTGGAAAAAATTTAGATTAAAAAAAAAAAATACCTTTGTCTTTTTATAATTTATCTCTGCCTCCTTTTTGGTATTTTCTAACTGTTCTGATGAAGAATCATCTGGTTCGATTATGATTATATCATTTTCCGGACTAGACAAAGATGCTAAAGAGGATTCACTGTTCTTTCTTTCGGGTGATAAAGAAGAGTTATCCACAAAAAAATCTGGCGTTGAATATCCATTTGACAATTTACCAATAAATGATTTGCGCTTAATTTTTCGAATATCTTTATTCGATTTCCCACTGGGCACCAAATGAGTCAAGTCAGGATCTTCTTCCCCATTGAAAAAAGATAATGGAGGCAATACCGGTGGTCCTACTTCCAATCCATTATGATAACTATCTTTACGAGGAGTTGGTTCAATACTAGGAACTAAAGAAGGAAATTTGGGACTAGTTGGAGAATTTGAATAGGAAGTTGTAGGCGAATTTGATCGGGGTGTCTGGGAATTAGATACATATTCGGTGGGGTTTGATGGGTTCGTAACGTATTCTTCAATATGAGGTAAAGATTGATTTTGTAATTTCAATTTTCGAGGTGGGGAAGAAGGTTTCTGATTTGAATTTAAATTGTCCCTTTCTTGAGAATTTGGAGGTGTGGGTGACTGTCTTGACGATAGATCACTCATGTCACTACGTTGACTTGAAAGTGAAAAAGTTCGTCCGGAACCATCATAAGGTTCACTTCGTGAACTTGTGATTGAAGCATTTCTAGAATGATTTTCAATAATGTCACCACGATTTTTAGCCAACGCTTTAGATAAATTATCCATTGAATCATTTTTTTTAGAAAAAAAACCAGCTCTCTTTGAAAGTTCTGATGATTCGCCATGTATTTTTACTTTATCATTAATATATTCGGATTTATTATGCCCGTTAGATTTAGTAAGTTGTTCAAGTGCTTTTGATGCAGGAGATGATACTTTTTGTTTAAACACTTCACTAATTGAGGATGATGCATCAAATAGTCTAGAATGACGACGATTAATAGTAGTATCAGCAGAAAAGGGAAGAGTATGAGCTCTTTGTATATTATCCAGATTATCCAATGAAGTTTTTGTCAATGTAGAAGCTGAAACATTACGTTCGAAAGATCTTTTTGGATAAATGCTGTGATTAGGAGGTTCAAGTCTACGATTCTATTAATAAAGATCAAATGATATGTCAGCATTATAATTGTGACGAAAATAAATTTATATTACACTTACTTTTTGATCAGCTTCGACAGGTAAGGAAGGCAAGGATTTTTCTATTACCATCGGATAAAGAGAGTTGTTTTCTTTTGCACGCTTCGCTTTATTAACTCTCTCGTGATGACAAGTCATGCAATAAATTCCCTTTTTTTTTTCCAATTAATAATTATCACGTGGTTAATTTTTTTTAATTCGCCGACTCTTAAATATGATTTCCACCAATTATCTTTTTAATCATTTTAAAGAATTCAAAATAATTTTCATATTATAATAATAAATACCTGATTTGTTTTAGCAAACACTAAATTTTCAATCTTTGATTTGCATTGTCGACAGCGAAAGCAATTTACATGAAAAGAATCATCACCTAATAGAAGTAAATAGAAACAATTAAATAATAATAATAATAATAATAATAATAATAATAATAATATTGATAACAAGTTGATTAAAAAAGAAATGATATTAATAACAATAACAATAATAATAATTAAGGATAAATATCATGCTTATTTTTATAAAATTCTAACCTGTCATAATGGCTTCGTCGATTATAGGTTTTTTACATACATGACAATCGTATGAACAATTCTCACATATTGGATTACCATCAGATAATAATAATAAATTAGAATCATGTTCAACCAATTCACGACATTTAGCACATCGAAAACTATGAAATAACATTTTTGGGGGGGAACGTGGAAAAAACGTGAATAAACGGATAAATAAGTTTTTATTTAATAATTATATATATATATATACATAAAATGCTTTCAATACTTTAGAAATAGATCAAATTACATACCAATGAACGTGCCATATGCCGTCCCCGAAAGAAACGACATTTCCTTCCTCAATTTGTGTTTTACAACCCATACAGTATGGGTCAGTACTTTCATCACCCACTCCTCCTATGTCAATATTTTCATCCCCCATATATCCTGGTTCAGTATTTTCGTCACCCATAAAACTTAGGTCAGTAGTTTCATCGGTATCATCAATATCAACCATTGTAATGGATGTTTGAAAGAGTGGGATGCTCTTAACACAAAAAGTGAAAAGATAAGTATATAAAAAAAGAAAGTCGAAAAGATTGTAAAAAAAAAAAAAAGCGATTTTAATATGAAAAGATAAAAATAAAAATTTGTAGATTTAGAATAACGTGATATGAATAAAAGTTGTTTTCAAAGAGTGAAAAAACTAAAAAGAGGAAACCATGTGCAATAAGAAGAGACCTTGCGCTCTGTGCACACGTCAGTGGTCAGAAGGATAGTTTAATTTAATATTTACTTGTGATAATCATTAAATAAAAGGTTTATTTTAATTCAATGTATCAACTTTCAAACAATCACACAAAAGTAAGGTACAAGAAGTAAGATTAAAAATATAATATAAATAAAGTATATAATCAAAAAAATTATTAACCAATTTTAGAAAAACAATTCCTCTATCTGATCTTTTATGTATAAAATGTCATTTCATCATCCAATGAACATTCAAACAAAGACAATGTATCAGGTCATGTTTTTCCTTTAAAGAAAAAAATTTTTTTTTTTTTGCCCTCCGAAATGTACTTATTTGGTCGAACATGTGATATTTAAAAAATTTATTGGTGCTAATGCTAATAAATTAAAACAATTGATAAAAAAAAAAATCCCGAAAACTTGTCTCCCATGTGGACATCTTTGACTGGAAATCTAATAGTTCACTAATTCAAAAGAATTACACACATTTAATTAGCGGGAGGAAAAAATCTTTGAATTATGCATAGTATTTTATTGTCACCTGATAATTGTTACTTTTATTCGTGCCCAAAAATAATATTGTGATGTAAATTACTAATTTTGTGCTTCAACTTTTTCTGGTAATCGAATATTTTACTCTATAAAAAGAGATTCTATTATTAGCATTCAATCGAGCATGCTTACTGTAACGATTACCAAGACACGATTTTTTACTTACCACTGCAAATATTATATGTCAAATCAGTTTACTGCATAAATCTTTTTAAAAATAAACCATACCTTATATATACTTTCATCTAAATTTAAGTAAACAATTCAACAATTCAGTACATTTTACTTGATAATGATCAAAAAGTACATTACATATAAATACCGTAGTCATGTGATAGTACGACGCAGATTATCATTGCGTAAGTAGTTACACGAGAAATTTTTTAGAATTGTCCTGCCAGCGAACGATTGAATCGATATATAATATATTATATAATATATTATATAATATATAATAATCATGCCTTTATCATCAATAATTCCAAGATATAAACGTCTCAACATTTTCAAATTTTTAAAATTCTTTTTTATATTACTCGTTTTGATTATTTTATTATTTCTTGCAGTTTGTGATTTACAACTAAACATGCGGATTTATTGGAGACAATGGATTGTAAACAAAGAACTTAAAATTGAAAGTCTTTATGGATGTTTTGATTTAAACTCAACAGAAACAGAGAATTATACTAAACCCAATATAAAATATAATAACATTATTCCTTCAATACCTTTAACTCATGGTTGGGATTGTTTTGATTTTGCCAAGAAAATAAAGTTAAAACCAGGTCAACCGATAGAACAAACTATATTTCATACATATTGGAGATCAGATCTACGACCTTTGGGTGATAAACAAATAGCAACATTAAAATCATTTTTCGCCACTCAAAATAGTAATTATTCTTCATTAATTCTTTGGTCAAATGAAGATCTTTCTCAAGAAACAATTTTAAAACCTTTAATTGAACGATATCCGAAAAGATTTAAAACTTTAAAATGTAATATAAAAGATTTAAGTAAAGGAACTCCCATAGAAAATTCAAAAAATCTTTTAAATATAGAAGATAAACATGCATATTTGGATGGAGATTTAATTCGATTACTGGTATTATATGAACATGGTGGAATATGGTTTGATATGGATTCACTTCTTATTCGAGATTTTTCACCATTAACTGAATATGAATGGGTAGGACAATGGGATTGTTTTTTACCTGAAGGATTTCCTTTCAATGGAGCAGTTATGAGATTTCGTAAAAAATCACCATACGTATGTGAATTTTTATCCGAAATGAGTAATGGACCTACACCAAGAAAAGATTCTACGGATTGGGGATCAACACTTTATTTTAAAATATTTAAAAGATTAATTCAAAATGGGGTAGAAACATTTAAAATAATTCCTTGGTGTTATACTGATCCATCTTTATGTAATCCGGATAATTCAATGCCAAACGCATTTAAAGAAACTGAATTTGATGAAGAAAGATTATTACAAGTTTTTTCATATCATTGGCATAATCAATGGGATAAAAAGAAGGGAAGTTTATTTAGATTTTTAGAAAACAGAAATAATGATTTATTAGGATTTTAAATATAGAAAATTGTAATTATATTATATTTTTATAAAATTTTAATAATTTATTTTTAATTGATTTTTAATTTTATTTTAATTTATTTTATTTTTAATTTATTTTATTTTAATTTATTTTATTTTTAATTTAATTTATTTTTAATTTATTTTATTTTTTTAATTTATTTTTAACTCATTTCTTGAACAAAAATTCACCACAAAAAAACCAAAAAGAAAAAAAAAGAAATCATTATAAGGAAGACAGAAAATCTTCCAAACTAAGAGATTCAGTAATTTCTTTTTGTTCTTTGTTTGTTTTTTCCTTTGTTAAAATTTGTTGAAGTTGTAATTTCTTTCGTTTCTTTTTAGATTTGCCATTATTACCATCATTATTATTATTATTATTATTATTACCACCATTATTATTACTATTATTATTATTCGGAGGAGGTAGAGGAGAATTCTCGGGCATTTTTGTTAAAAATGAAGAAGAAATATTATTATTAACTAATCTCTTGTCATCAATTTTTTCAGCCGATTGATCAATATTCTTTTTAATCAAACATCCAGGAAATCTAGTTTCTATATTGCAAGAATTACAAATGTAAGATGTATGATTTTTATAATGTCGTCGGCGTCGATGATGATGATGATTATTATTATTATTATTATTATTATTATTAATGAATTTATTATCTCCCGTTTGAATATAAATTATTTGTCGTTTTTGTTGTTGTTGTTGTTGCGATTTATTATTATTATTATCCGAAAGATTTGATAATTTACAACCTAAATATTAATAATAAAAATTAAATTATTTCAAATTATTCATTATTATTATGTTCACATTATGATATTATGTTTATGATATTTTCGAACCTTTTTCTTCTCCTCCTTCATTATTTATATTATTAATATCCTTTTCAATATCTATCTTCTTTCGGATATATTGATATTTATTATTTTCTCCAGAATTTCCTAATTTTTTTCTTTTTCTCTTTTCTTTTCGCTTTTTATCGTCATTATTATTATTATTATTATTATTATTATTTACGTTAATAACTCTGATTTGAGAGTTAATTCCTGGAATAAAAATATTTCCACAATAACTACAATATGTTCGTTTGATACCATCCGCGAGAATCAAGTTTTTTTCTGCAGCATTTTGATGAAATTGTTGCATGTAATATGCAGAAAGATTGGGAACCGTTGGTAATAAAATGTGTGATGCATTCCAAAGGAATTGAAGTCGATTATTAGTATTATTATTTGAGGTAGTATTTGATTTGGTATGTGAAGTGGTAGTCATTTTAAGATTGAGTTTTACAAAAATTACGCGACACGAATTATTATTGATTTTGGGGTTACAAGTTTTTTTTTTTTAATTTTGAGGGGGTAGTTTGTTCCCACATGACTGATAACAAAAAATAGATGTAATTTTTTAATGAACTTTATAAATATAATAAATATAATAATAAATAGATATAATAAGTATAATAAATATAATAATAAATAGATATAATAAGTATAATAAATATAATAATGAATAGATATAATAAGTATAATAAATATAATAAATATAAAAATCTATATAGTCTAAAAATTATTGTTACAATCTATTATTACTATTTATATCATTTAAATCATTAAAAATTATCAAATAACTTAAATAACTTGATTTGCTTTCAAATCATTAATTTGTTGATCAGTGTAATTAAGTAAATTACTCAATATCTCAAATGTATGTTGTCCAAAAGTTGGTGGAGGTAATCTTATTTTTAACTTTTCTTTACTATATTTGACTGGTATTCCTATATATATATATATATTAAATATATTTGAATATATTAAAAAAAAATAAATTAAATTAAAAAAAAATATATATATATTAATTGAACATAGAAATATATAGATTAAAAAGTATTTATACCTGTCAATTTAATTTTTCCAGCTTTAGGATGTTCTATTTCTTGAATCATTCCTCTCGCAATAACTTGAGGATGTTCAAAAGTTTTTTGAATATTATTTATTGGAGCAAAAGGAATTCCCTTATCAAAAAACTTTTCTAACCAATGATCAGTATCTTCCTCTTGAAATTTTGATTTCAATAGTGAAATTAATTCTTTACGATGTTGCACTCGACTGGCGTTAGTTTTAAATCTTGAATCTTGTAATAAATTTTCTTGATTTATGGTTTGACATAAAATTTTAAATTGACGATCATTCCCGGCTCCTATCATTATAAAACTATCTTTGGTGGGAAATACTTGATAAGGAACTATTGAAGGATGAGAAGTTCCCATACGTACAGCTTCTCCATTAGAAATAAGGTAATTACTTGCGATATTAGCTAATGAAGCAATTTGAGATTCTATCAATGAACAATCTATCCATTGACCAAAATTTGTTTTTGTTCTTGATAATAAAGCTGCCATAATAGCCCCATGAGCGTAGAGACCTTTTTTTATAACAATATAAAAAAAATATATTAATAATATTAAAATATAATTAAAAATAATATTAAAATAATATCAATAAAAAATTCACGAATGATGATTATTACCTGTTGTTAAATCTAAAGGAATAAATAAAACACGCGTTATAATTTATAATTTTAGTGAAATAATAATAATAATAATAATAACAATAATAATAATAAGAATAATAATAATAGTAATAATATATATATATATACCTGTTATAGCCACACCTACTTTAACCGGATTTCCATCTTCTTCACCAGTAATATACATTAAACCAGCTTCCGCCTGAACATATTTTAAATCTTGTAACATTTGTTATTTTCCTGAATTTTTTATATTCCAAATAAAAATAAATAAAAATAATTCTTTTGTCAACTTACTTCTATCATCACATCATATCCCGCACGATTTGAATAAGGTCCTGTTTGACCATATCCTAAAGATAAATAAATAAATTTCGTAATAATAAAGAAGATTACTTTCTCATAATAATAATAATAATAAAATAATAATAATAATAATAATAATATAATAATAATAATAATAATAATAATAATAATAATAATAATAATAATAATAAT